TATGGAAGATAATTTGCTTCATCTGATTTTGAATTTGCAATGCCGTCGAATTTCTCGCTTTGAATTTTTTAACTCTGAAAAATTTGAATGAAAGTTTGAATTATTCTGAATTTGAGTTGCTGAAATTTTAAGTGTGCATTTTCATTCAATAGGGTTCAATTTGAGAATAAATATTTCACTTTTTAAATATTCAGCACATTTATTTTCAAGCCCAGTTAAAATTCACAGTGAGAAATTTCCTGCTTGTTACAAAATTTGATTGGATCTCTTTGGAACGATTCCCTAGATCTTTGCATCTTGGATCTTTCCTGCAAATTTTTTCCTGCAAATTATTTTACACTCTGAATTTCAACTGTTGAATTTGAGGTCTTGAAAATATATTTTTTTTCAATATTGGATTTTTAATACTGAAAATGTACACTTAAAATTTCCTCAACTGCCATTCAGAATAAAAATAATTCAAACTTTCATTCAAAATTTTCAAAGTGAGAAATTCAACGGCATTGCAAATTCAAAATCGGATGAAACTAATTATCTTTCATTAAAACAGACCTGGAATTGTGTTTTGTATCATTCACACATGTTTAAGTAATCCTGTATTATTAGTGTGTCATCTCTGAAACTCAAAATGTGTTCTATTCCACCTTGTGACATCACCAAGCTGTAGTTTTCAAGTCAACATCTGCCTTTAAATTTATTGTTTGGTAAAGATTTGCAATTCCAGGGCTGTGTTAAAGATGTATGAATGAAACAAAACACAATTCCAGGTTTCTCATGAGTAAACAGATCAGAGAAAATCATAATCTGGGCCCTTTAACAGTGAGATTTATATAAACTAATCTGTCTTGGAGAGGATTACGACCATCTCCTGTTTATCTGCGTACACGTAGGCTTTACCGTAGTGGTTAGATAACATGTAGGTCACTCTTTTGTACGCGCCATACACATACAGTAAAGCTGGGTATATATAATGAATGACGGCGTCCCATCTGGCCCGAGTGTGACGCCGGCGCGCTGGGGTCGCTCGCCATTGGCCGACCCAACCGCGGCGCCGTCTGCCATTGGCCGAGCGGTGGGTGCAGTCTTTTGTTCCGGCCGGGCATGCGCATCGCCGACCAAACGTAAAGGAACACAATGTACAACTTCTGCACAAAACAAGGACATATCATGACCCCGGGCTCGCACTTTCGTTTTTTAAAAGTTTAGCCCGGCGTTTAAGCGGACGGTAAACGGCGAGCGGTATTGACGCAGCATGTCTTTTCTGATTAAAGTTCCCAAATGGCGTCAACTTCAATTTAGGCTAGTGGGCCAGTATAGCGCAAGAAGAATAGACTATTTGACCTTTCCCTAATGGGGTTAATAATTTCCCAGTGGGCACCAACGTTAAACGCAACAACAAACTAACTACGCCATCGTTTTGTTATCTTTTGTTTTTTCACACAAAGCTCAGTTTAGGTTTAGAAAGTCTATCACAAGTGTAAAATAATAAAAATAGTCTGTGTCTTTTGTATTTCTAGGGCTTGTTTTGAATGTTTTGTGTGGAGTGTTTGCAGCTCTGTGGACGCCATCTTGAGCAGCGTGGAGGTACACGTGAGGCAGCAGCACAAGGCCTGGCGGTGCCCAGTGTGCATGGCTGATCAAGAGCGAGCAAACGCCTTCTTCGCCTTCTTCACAGTCCACCGCAGCTTTGGTTGTACAGGCAAATTTGAGCATTTCTAAATATATAAGAATATAGGTGAAAAATGTAGGTAAAGGATGTTGTGATTGACAGATTGGCGTGGAGAGAAGAGGCGAATGGGAGGGCCCTGCGAGGCGATGACGGGTGTGTGGTCAAAAATGGCTCATCCGATTGGCCCGATCGCGTTAATCTTCGCTGGCGGTTTACATAACGGGCGCGGGGAGGAGGCGGTGACGTCACGCCACACGAAGTTCTCTGCCAATCGTCTCGAGCCTATAGGTTGTTGGGACTTTGTGGAGGGGCAGCTATAGCGACTTGACACAGTAACGCGCGCTTCATACACACACTACCTCACCCCGGTTTACACTGCTCCCTCCTGTCCCCATTGTTGGTCAGTGTCCCCATGTGAAGCCCCCACGGTTGACAGGGCAGGGGTCGGGCCAAAGGGCAGGTCAGGAGGACGAGGGGGTGAGGGTGCGCGGGTGCGGCGCTGGTGCCTCTTTTTGGTGGTTTTTGGGTCTCGGGTGAGGGGGTCCATCTCAGTCGGATTGCGAGCTTAGCCTGACAGGAGCATCCATGAGGGAGACGTGCTTGGCCGCTGGACGTTCGCAGAGCAGGGACGCCATGGCCGTACAGCTGCTCTTCTGGGAGCTGGAGAACCACCTCAAGAGGTAACCTGGAGTCAGTGTTGGGCGAGGGGGGCGCGGGTGCAGGGTGTGGGGGGTAGGCGCGTGGACCAGCGGGGGTCCTTAAAGCCACTCAGGGGCTTTTGTCTTGGTGTCATATCCATGTGACTGCTTTTGTTGTGATGGAATGTACCTCGTTTTGGACGTATGGTGTTTGACATGTGTCTGAGTGTGTGTGTTTGCAGTTTTAAAAAACTTCTTCTTCTGACCAGAGGAATAGCACTTTAATAGCATTTTCACTACATAAAACTTCAGTAGACTTAACTGTTAAAGACTTTCTCTACCTGTTTGAAAGAGCTACGCCCCAAAATGTTGAGAGAGCTGAGCTGCCCTGAAGGGCTCGCGCTGTGTCTGAGGACACGGTGTTCTAGAGCACATGCATGTTGCTGCGCTTGCCTGTGAATGTGCTCATTCCATGTGATGGATCCGTCATGCCACATCCATCATCTAAATACATACATTTAATCTCTCCAACTTTATAGTCCCATCAAAAGTCTGCACATTTACAAACAACATTTATAAAGCACAAAACATTCTAATGAGGCTCATCATTTATTAAACTCATCCCCAGTAGCTCTGACAAAAGTCTGTACCTGACATAAGAAGACAAAAGACAAAGATATAGACCTGCCCAGGGTCTCACAGTGTGTTCTGCAGAGGAGCAGTGACACAAACACACACACACACACACACACACACATGATCACATAATTGTGATGTATGCCCTGTGCTGACACACACACACACACACACACACACAGGTGTGTGACCCTGCAGCTCCTCTCACACTTTAAACTGTGCTCATGTGAGCTTCATTCACTGTGTGGACTTTGACAGGCTGATGTGGAGCAGCCGTCTGTACAAAACATGCAGAAGTCCCTCACAAGCCAAGTACTTTGTGTTCTGCCCAGAGCCCATTGTCTCAACACTCTAATATACTGACCTTCAAAGCCTCACTCTCTGCCACTCTTTCTTTGACTTCTTCTTTCACAATTTTCTAAAACTCAAACTGGACAATGACATGAATGAATGAAATACTAGAAGATATATCTGTTTTGTTTTCAGTCATGTGATTATTTTTACCATGTCAGTTCAAATAAAATATTCTCAACACATTTCTTGAAGGCACATCCCAAAAAGATAAAGGTGTCCATAACACAATATTATATACAATTGTATATATTTTTTATGTATTTCATTCATTTCATAATGCAGAGTTTTATCTCCCCAAACAACTACAGAACTGTGCAAAATTTCAAAATCCTGAACTATAAAAGTTTCAGATTGTACAGGACATGAAGCGTAAAGGATCATGTTTTTGTATTGACTGTGTAATGTAGTTGGGGAGTGGTCCGGCCTCCCTGTTAGAACAGTGTGTCCTCTCAAAGTGCACATGTGTGGAGACAAAGCAGCTTGAGCCTCCTCTGCTACTGCGGTAGGCCTACCCTCTCCTGTAGGCATATACACACTCCTCTAGAGATACACACTCCATACACACTCCTCTAGAAATATACACACTCCTCTAGAAATATACACACTCCTCTAGAAATATACACACTCTCCTCGAGAAATATACACACTCCTCTAGAAATATACACACTCCTCTAGAAATATACACACTCCTCTAGAAATATACACACTCCTCTAGAAATATACACACTCCTCTAGAACTATACACACTCCTCTAGAAATATACACACTCCTCTAGAAATATACACACACTCCTCTAGAACATACACACTCCTCTAGAAATATACACACTAGAAATACACACTCCTCTAGAAATATACACACTCTCCTCTAGAACCATACCCTCTCTCCTGTAGGCCAGTCTACCTCATAGTATTAATCATTGTGTGTAGAGCACATAGTGTTTTATACAACAGCTGCACTGCTCCATCACAATACCACATGTAGTTTGTGTATAACACAGTTATGATTTTGTTATTATGTAAGTGTTCATGATGATATAATGAGATATTCATGATTAGAATGAAATATTATAATAATAATAATAAGTGTTCCTTTACTTACATTGTTGATTTTCAAAACCCCCAGTGAAGGCACAAGTAAAGACAGTAGTGTCCACGTAACATCATTAGAAGAGTTTTGACTTTTATTTACTAGACCAAACATCAGAACAAAAGACTTAACGCTCATGTGTGCAGGTTTACATGAGATTCAATGTCACTGAATCATAAAAATACTAATAACACTGTCACAGAGTCATCTGGAGAGTGAAGCATCTTCAGGTGTTTCCTCCAGGTGATTGTCTTTGTTCTGCGCAGTGACCAACAGGTGGAGACACTTGCACAGGTCTGACAGGTCCTGTCCCTGCTCCTGGGACCCGCACAGAATCACGCACATGAATCACGCAGAGTTCGTCCGCGCAGTGTCTGCTCAGAGTTGGACTCTTTGTCCCAGTTTTGTTGTATCAGAGTGTGCAGTTAAATACTTGTGTCCAGTGTTTGTGGAGGACAGTGCGCCAGGCGCAAGGATGCTGCTTACATTATGATCATGAGCACAGAGCTCAGCCAATCAGAGGCCGTGTGCAGCATGTATTATTCAGATGAGCCGCGCTCTGAGCCAATGAGCGCGCAGCTGGCGCTGTTTGCTGCATGGATTAGTGAGAGAGGGAGCGCGGTATGCGGAGCCGCAGCCTGCTGCTTCACTCTTTGTGCTGTGTCCCGGCCGTGAGCTGTGCTTTGGCCCGGGGAGCTCAGCGACAACTAGAAATGCTTTATTTTTCTACTTTTGTACCGCTGGACGTGCAGTGTGCAGCCCTCCCTCTGAGCCTATGGGGGTTTTAATGGACGGGGTAGCATGAGTTCGCAGTGTTACACAGTGGCGATGGACCTTGGCGTGTGTCAGCTACGGAATTTATCCATATCGTTTTTGTCCTCTGTGCTTGGGAAGGAGACTGCATCAGTCCGGCTCGATAGGTACGTGTTGTCCAGACGTGTGCGCGCACGGAGCGGAGCACAGCGCCGCTGTCATTCATCCTGTCCACTGTCTTCTCCTCTGTGTTTACGCGAGCTGCTGCCTTCTCCGGGCAGATATGATCTGTTTACTGTTGGATATTGTTGGACACCATTGTCTGCTTTTGGTTTCGTTTTGCTTTCGTTATCAGACAGAAGCAGTGTCCGCGGGCAGCGGGCTTCATCTCTGTGTCCAGTGCTATTAACACGGGCTTTTTGTGTGTGTTTTGCAGTTCTTCGGGCGCAAGTGTGGTGGCCATCGACAACAAGATTGAACAAGCCATGGTAAGTGTCGTGTTTGTAAATAGGCCGCTCAGGTTCATGTATGCGCTGCCTCCGCTGTTATGTAACCGCGCCGCTGCTTTTAGAGCAATGCGCATACCGAGGACGACCTCATCCCGAAATACAGCCACGACACACGCCACACCAGAACACACCGCACGACATTCAGTTTAGGCACAACGCAGAGCTTCTGGGTTTATCAGAACGACATGAAAAGTCTCTCCTCTCAAATGAATGAACGAATGAATGAACATGGCGCTGTGTGCTTGAGCTGAGCCTTTGCGCACTTATGTAAACATCTGATGGGACCTTTTACACTGGACACTGAACTTGCTGCGCTGTGTCCATTTGGACGATTAGGACCAGGTCCCCTGGAGCTTATGGGGACACTTGATGTGTTGGGCCGTGTCCACAGGCTGTAGCCATGTCCCTCTTCCTCCTGCATTCACTGCCCTCCCTGTCCTCTGCTCTCTCCCTGCCTTCCTCTCTCCCTCTCCTGCTCTTCCTCCCTCTCTCCACTCTCCTCTCCCTCCCTGGCCTGTGTTGCTAGGCAAGCGCCGTCCTCCCCTCCTCTCAGTATAAATAACTTGCACAGTGATTGGCTCCTCCCACCGCGCGGCTGAACATTTTGTACCGTGCTGCTCCCGGGGCAGTGGAGAAGAGGAGGAGGGAGGGCGGCCCGCTCAGGGATGCTCCGATCTAGGGCACGTCTCCCCGTCCCATCTCCTCATTGTGGACGCTCGGTGTGGCCTGAGGCGGACTTCTTGAACCAAGACGATAGTCCATATTTGACAAGAACTGATATTTAGCTGTTAAAACCCACAGCAACTTTATCTTAAGTTAAAGAAACAATCACAAATCAGCTTTTCACTTTTGCAAAAAATAACTAAATGTATTCATCTGGGAAGTAATTAGTTACAACTCTCTTTGTTGTTGTACATTGTGGTTCATTAGTCTGTACAAAAAGTGCAAAAAAACCCCCCAAAAAGTATCGAATATCAGCATCGCCCAACCCTAACTGTGGCGTTTTGGTTCACGGCGGTCACGCTCATCTATTTTCACCTGTCAGTCACTGGGAGAGGTGGCATGTGCTGAGCCAGGGCATGCCGACTTATAGTGCCACTTTAACCTGAGCTCTCTGGCCTACTTTCTACTCGGGTTGTCAAAAGTATGGAAAATCAGACACTAAATCACGCTAAAACTCGTGTCAAAATGAGCGTTTTGAGCAGGTATCTATACTTAAGTCATATTCGCAGGACCTGAATAGATTTAGAAGGATCTTGAGCTGGATCAGAACAAATTTAAGAGCACATAGTCTCGTGTACGCCCATGAAACCGACCTGGACCACTGAGGATTACACACATGGGAATAGAAAAGAAAATGCTACTGTTTAATGCTGAAAATCATTCTTTTGTTTATTCCTTAGTATCGAATTTGAGTTTAAAATTTTACTATTGTGACACTGGACTTTCTAGTACCACAAATGAATTCCGTATTCATAAAATAAAACCTCATGGAGTCCCAGGGAGGGCATCTGACGCACAGGAACATTTCAGAACATGTTTCTAGACGTCTAAGATACACGTTTTAGCAGCTTTTACACAGACTATGACCCCACGGAGCCACAGGAACATTTAGTTCTCTGCAGCCATGCCGACGAGCCAAAACCACATGCGCTCTGACAAAGACGTTATGGTCTGGAGCCGTATCCCGTCTGTGTGATTTCTGATGTGGATGTGGTGTAACTGACAGGTGTTTTAACCAAAAGAAAAGAATTGTCCAATAAAAAGTTACGGTAGCTTAAATAATGTAGAAGAGTAAGAAACAACGCGGATATTTGTAGAATCAATAAGCATATTTTCTGATCTATTTTCGAATGTTTCCTCATCAAAAACACACCTGGAGTTGTGTTTTGTTTCATTTACACATGTTTAACGCACAAACCCTGCACATTTAGGTTCCTGTCTCGAAAAGAAGACACTGTTCCGCCGCTTCATGACACCACAGGAGCTTTAGATGTAGACAGAAAATAACAAAGAGTTACTCAAACATGTGTGCAAATGAAACGAAACAAAACTCCAGGTCTGTTTTTGAGGATTTAAAACATGTCTGAGATCGTTTGAGACACACAAATGAGCGTTACAAATGAACTGCTGTGATTGGACCATCTCGAGTCTGGACAAACTTTACGGTCTGATGCTCGTAGCAGCCGTTCACGTTTTTGTTTGCGCGTTGTGAGCGTCGTGATCCCGTCCCGTAGAGTTTGTTTGGTCTTGATTCAGTCATCTAATCTCTACGATTTGTGCATCTAATCTCGTCTTTGTTTAGTTACAGTTTAGTTTCAATTTCGATTTCGTTTCAAATCTGGCTGCAGCCTGGTCTTGTCACTAGGAATGAAACGATATCCAAATCTCTAGGTTCGATATTTTCACGATACACGTCTCACGCTTCGGTATTTATTGCGATATTTTGTGAATATGCGACTTTTCTTGCTTAAAATGCCTTGACAAGACTTAGAACTAGACAAAGAACTAAGATTTAAAAGTGCTTAGGAGTGTTATTTCTTAATGTATTTCGCAACAAAACGGAGCAAAGGATCATGGTCGATGTAGTTCCCTCTGTTTTTTAGCTGTTGCTGCACTAAAACAATCAATTTAAGCAAAGAAACTTGTAATTCGATAGATATTGTGACAGCCCACGATATTATTGAGAGACTTTTGACAATACGATATCACAATATTTTGGTTATTGTTACACTCTTAGTTGTCACGATACTAAAATTTCAAAAGATTTCGATGCTAAGGAATAGAAACAGTACTCAATATCGATTCTGATATCACGATTTCTTTAGACAATACAGTATCATTTTGAACATTAAATAACAGTACTAGTATGTGCTCTTAAACTTGTTCTGATACAGCTCAAAATCATTCTAAAGCTGTTCAAATAAGATTCATTTCTGTCCTGTGAATGTGACTTTGAGTATTGATTAGGGATGTAACGATATCCAAATCTCTTGACGATATTTATTGCAATATTTTGGAGAGGCTGATATAATTGTAGACAGGACACTTTTTTGCTTTTAAAATAGCTTGAAAAGAATTTGGTGTGATTTATTTCCGTCATAATCCCAAGAATTCAAGTAAAAAACATATTTCTTCATGTTTGCCCTGCAATGAATCATGGGATGTGTAGTTCTCTATGTTTATTAGTTAGTATGTTTCCCTATGCTGTCGAGAAACTTGTGATTCGATATATTGTGACATCCCACGATATTATTGTGAGACTATTGACGATATATCACATCACGATATTTGAGTTATTGTTACAATCCTAGTATTGATACCTGCTCAGTTTCGTATTGGTTAGTTTCTGATTTTCGATACTTTGGACAATCCTATAGTTCACCCGTGTCTTCATTTTGTCCTGGTTTCATTCCGTTATACTCGTGTTGTAGTCTACGTTTGGTCCTGGACGCACTCACACTTGACCTTTTTGAGCCGTGATGTTTTCAGACATGATTGCACAAGGTTCTACGGTTCTAAGTTTGTTTGTTTTCAAGTGTGACTGCTTCCTAACCGTCCACTCTCGTCTTCCTCATGTGTCCAGGACTTGGTGAAGAGCCACCTGATGTACGCCGTGCGCGAGGAGGTGGAGGTGCTGAAGGAGCAGATCAAAGAGCTGAACGAGCGTAACTCTCAGCTGGAGCAGGAGAACAACCTGCTCAAGACCCTGGCCAGCCCCGAGCAGATGGCGCAGTTCAGGGCGCAGGTCCAGACGGGGAGCTCTCCCACGGGCCCGGGCCAGCCCGCGGTGGGCTCCGCCGGGACGCAAGCCGCGCTCCCCCCCTCACAGAACACCGGCATGTCCGCGTAAGGCGCCGGCCCGGAGAGCGGAGGGGAGAGGAGTCCTGCCATACTGTGAAGACGTGACCCAGCCCGACTCGCTCCACAGCGCCCCCTCTCGCACGCTCGCCACAACGACGCTACCAGACAAAAGTTCAGACACGCTTTTTCGTCTGTTTCGTTTTTTATTCCCGCAATTATTGACATTGTAGATTCTCTGAAGACGTCAAGAATATGAATGGACACGTGCGGTAAAAATATATTCAAAAAACACCCTTTGCCTTGAACCCTGGTTTGCACTTCTTACATTTCTTGACCCTGACATGGCACAGCTGTGAAACGAAAACCATTTCAGGAGACGTCACGGAAATCATTGCGAGAAGGCCGAGTGTACGCAGCACTGTTAACAAAGCAAAGGGTGTCTACTGTGAGGTTTTTGAATATAAAATCTAAAAACGTTGCTCGTTATTTAATATTTTTCTTTGTTACATAATCTCACGTACCTTACTTTATATATTTGACGTCTTCTGTGTGGATCTAAAATGTACAAAGTATAAAACGTAAACGGTGAGACAGTGTGTCCGCTTTTGTCTGGTAATGGACTTTGTTTTGTTGCACATCGAATCCAACTTTCGAGGGTCGCACCAGTGTCTCCAACTCGTCTCCGCTCTGGACAATCGGCGTCGCTCCCGCGCGTCGCCACGGAAGAAGACAGACGGACAGAGCTAACACGAACTGATTTTGTTTTATGTTTTTCATTTTTCTATGTTTTAATTTAGAATTTCAAATGCCACATGATGCTCGGCCCCTCCGCGGCGGGAGGGGCCCGTGGACTCGTTTACATTCGCACACAGCTCTTTTTTGACTTTTATTTAATTTCCCAGAACGCTGTGGTTTTATGCACTTTCCCCCGCCCCCTCAACTTTCAAAAATGACGCTGAACTTTTGACGTACGTTTGGTCGGTCGAGGCGCGGCGGGCTGGACTCAGACACGTTGCTCCCCCCGCGCCTCGTGTTCACGTGATCGTTGACGTCCCACCTGCACACCCTTTGCCCCTTTTGGACGGAGCGTTAAACATTTAAGCAGGGAATCCATGTTTTTATTTTGGGTTTTTTCGTCTGTTTTTAGGAAAATCTGGGAGTGGTTTATGATTTTTTTTTTTTTTTTTTGTCGTTGTATTTAATGTCCTTGCAATCTCTAAAAAAAGAAATCATAGGACGGAGAGTTAACGGGACGTGACTGTTTTTAGGAACTTTGTACAGTTCAATTTGTGACTCTAATCTGCCAAGTGCCTGGTCCGTAACCATAGATACATATATAGTGTTTTTTATTTGTCTTATATAAATGTGTGTGTATATATTTATCTATGGTTTACCAGGTTTTAAACTACCTGTGATGTCATTTCTCAGGGCGGGAGGAGACATGGTTTTAACTGTCTCTCCCGCAGTGACAACACGGCCTTGACTCTGCTCAAAAATCCGGATTGTTCTACGTGTTGGTTTGATTTTTTTATGAAATGTTTTTTTTTTGTTTTTGTTTTTTATTTGTAAAAAAAGTGTTTGGGTTGCCTGGTGTGGCGGCCGAAGCTTCGAACACGATAATGAGAATTGTTGAAAAATGCCTAGCAGAAGTACGGCATTGTTTTGTGCATGTCCCCCAGCCCATCACAAATGTGACGTTACAATTGCACTAGACAGTTGCACCTCGAATAAAAAGGAAAATCAAACGCTGCCTCTGTTTTGTTTTGTTTTTTGCATAGAAATAGTCGCATTCACTATAAATCTAAGTCGTTATGAATGGTTATTGTATTTTTATTTGTTCACTTAGATTAAAAACGCGGTATTTTACTTCTATGAGGTATTAACTGCTAACACAAAACATATTTAGATCATCATGTTACCTTTTATTGTTTCAGAAACACTATATTTGCCTGAAAATAACGTATTAACAAGCTTCACTCCACCTTCAGAGCGTTATCACAGCTTAAAGAACATTCATACTGCTGTTTTAATGTTTTTTACCGCAAAAAACTGCACATTTTTTCCCCTAAATGAATTTTTTAGTAGTAGTTTGTTCAATCATTTTGCAGCACTACAAAAAAAAAAAAAAAAAAAAAGCATAGATCAGGACCGAAAAAGTTTTGGCTGAAGTAAGAAGTACTTAAAATTAATTCAGAAGTTGCCGATACGATACACGGGCCACAAGACGATACATATCTTGAGCGCACTTTCGATTAGATTCGATACGATATATTTCAAAGCGATTTGACACAGTTCAAGTCTAAACCATGGCTGTGACACTAAAAGTCTTTGTAAAACCACTTCTTGTGCAAAGTTAACACAAAAAAACACCCATTTTACTCATCAAAACAGTGAAAATGTCAAATATGTCGCATAAACAAGTAACAAAACTGTAGCTGTAACAAAATAATTTAGTAAAATATACCAAAAATTACTCTTGGAGATAAATCGATACAGCAGCCCACGATATCGATACTGTATCATCACATTAAACGATACGATATATATATATATATTCGATATTTCTGCACAGCCCTACGTCTAACGCCAAACCTGATTAAAAAATGACAATATTCCAAGAAAAGCAGAGTATGAACAGCAAGTTTGAATTTACAGTTTGATTGACTGATTGATTTGTTTTTATTTCGAGTTTGTGCCAAGAGAGAAACAATAATCATGTATACTACATGGGAGTGGGAAGAAGAAAAAACTTATATGAACCCACCTCTATTCATGACATAGTTTCAAAAATGATGTGGTTGCTTCTGTACATTGTACTGTACAGTTTCACTTACGACTTACTGTAAATATAAGAGACAAAATATAAAATAAAACAAACGCATAAGTCATTTATTTTAGAACTCTATATCTTTCAAAACATAACACTGTATACTCTTTTTTAAAGGCTTCTACAGTGTTAGATTTTTTAAAATCATCACTCAGATTGTTCCATATATTAACCCTCGAACAGAAATACAATCACTTTTTTTCTTAGTTCTTATCTTTATTTTTTTTAAAGATGCCATTTTTTTGTTTGTTTGTTTGCTTTTTCATTTATGGTTATACAAACTAATAATGTTAACAAAGGCACAAAGTTTTATCGTTTATGATTGTACAAAACACACACACACACAATGCGAATGAAAAAAGTAAGGATTTTTATTTTTTATTTTTTTATGGTCGTAAAAATGAATAACAATGACAAAGATTCAATGATTCAATTGATTTTTTTAAAATTAAAAACATAAAACTTTTTTTTTTTTTTGTGCTTTTTACCACAAAAAATCTTCCTCTAGAGTCCAATTCTTTTACCATCAGAGGACTGGCTGTGGATTTTTTTGAACAAAAGCCTCAAGAAAACGACTGATGATTTGAAATTTTGATTAAAATGAGATGAATTGTCCAGCCTTTGTATTAGTATTAGTATTAGTAGTAGTAGTAGTAGTAGTAGTATTAGTAGTAGTAGTAGTAGTATTAGTATCTTCTTGAACTTGACTGAAAGAGGCAGGGTCACATTCTTTCAACCCTCCACTGGGGCCTTTGTTTTGTCTCCTCCGCTGACCTAAAACCATCCCGTCCAATTTATGAATGGCTGCCTCTCGGAGCAGACTCCATTACGCGTGCGCAGCAGGTGCTCGCTTTCGTATGCCGCTGCTTATGCTCACGAACCCTGACCTGTGATTGGCCGAGAAGACACCAGCCCACCCACACCCCTCCTGTACGAGCGGGCGCCTCACGTGGACCTCCACGCTGCCTCTCACGCCTGGATATATGCTGCTGCTGGATTTCACATGACATCACGACGTTCTATAGGCCAATAATATTTCATACACATGGAGGCAGCTCAGATTAGTGAGGTTCATGGTCTTTGGCAGAGGTGGGCAATTCTTTTTTCCATGGGGTCACATGAGAAACAGAAAATATTGCGGAGGCCAAAATACTTAACTCAGTTCTGTGAATATGAATTGTGTTTCTTTATAAAAAGCAGTAAATATCATTGTTTTGACGAGCTGCTCAGACTTTATGTTCTGACTAAACAATGGAAAATTGTGACTGCTGAACAAAAAATGTCATTTAAAAACATCTCTAAAATAAAAACAGCTTCAGGTTTAGTCCATGTATGATGTAAAATGATAAAATATGTTTATTTTGTAATTCCAAATGATCTTAAACAGACCGGCCAAAGTCAACCAAAGGACCGTATGTGGTCCTGGAGCTGGACAAAGCCCAGGTCTGATCTGATCTAGAACCAGAAACGCACCCATAGGTGCACTCATGTGAAGTGTGCATCACTATTTGTTTGAGGGAAATGTGAATTATATAACATGTAGTGAGTTGTTATGCAGCAGATACTAGTCATAGTCATTTTTATGATTATGAATAGGCCATATTTCCAGTCCAAGTGCAGGTGAATGGAACACTTAAAGATCTTTGAGATATCAGTTTGAAACTTCTCCTGTAGTGTGTCATCATGTAATGTTTTCATATAAAAATAAGGTATTTTATGTGTAAAATCTGCCAAAACTGACTGAAAACAGAAATATTTTACAAACAAAATCTCAAAGAAAATTTGCCTAAAAATTCAAATTCAATAAATCTGACTTGTATTTAGATATCACCAAATCCTTTTGTATTCATTTGGTTAAATTCTTGGTAAGAGTTTGTCCACTGATCTGAAGGTTGGTAGTTTGGATCCCGCTCCCACAGATGAATGCTGTAGTTGTGTCCTTGGGCAAGACACTTAGCCCACATCGCCCCCAGTGTCTGCGTACACTGGTGTGTGAATGTGTGTGTGAATGTATAAGTGGTTCCTTGTTGTAAAGTGCTTTGAGCCTCGAAGGTGGAAAAGCTCTGTATAAAAATGTGATCATTTCCCATAAACTCTTGTTGGGTATAAATAAGACTGTAGTTTGGTGTACACTACCATTTTCCAGTTATTTATTGCAATTTGAGTCGTGCAAGTCCAATGAGTCGCTTGAAATGATACAGAAGTAAAAACTGAACAGACAGAGGTTAAAAAAGAATGATAAAAAAGAACAAAACACAAGTCCAAGTTCTGCCAAAACCACCTCAGGAAAAAAGAACAAGATGGTAAAAGTTGAAAACCTGGAGTGTCCAGCAGCAGCACAGTGTCCAGACTTAAACCCCATGGAGCTGGTTTGGGATGAACTGGACAGAAGAGTGAAGCAACCTACAAGTGCCACACATTTATGGAAACTTCTGCAACAGACTTGGGAAGAACTTTCTGAACAATATTTGATTTGTGTTGGAAAAAGAACGAGCCACGAGTGTGTTCAGCTGTTCTATCTGACAAAGGTGAACACACACATCAATCAAAAGTTTAGAATATGTTTTGATCAACAGTAAACAGTAAAAAAAAAATGAAAAATGGTGGTGTTCCAAACTTTTGACGGTAGTGTTTGTAGGTGCTACTTCTGATCCTGATGGTGGGAAATGTATTTTGAGCAAACGTCTTTGAAGTTCCAGTGTTCCACATCAAACTATGAAGAGCAAAACATGTTTCAGCGCAGATTGAACCATGTCACATGAAAGCTTATATGTTTACACCCCAAAAATAACCAGAAATCACTCAAAAGTTTTGCCTGTAGTGTAATATTATAATCTTGTGATCACCCAGCAGGTTGTATATTCTGTGTTTTATTTTGGCTTGGAGATTCCTTTTCAGGGCGTTTGTCAATGAATAAAAATAAAGAAATGAACCATTGAAAACGCTTGAATAACCAGGTCAAAACAAAAACCAAAACTAAACCAGGACTAAACCAGGTCTAAACCAGGTCTAAACCAGGTCTAAACTAGATCTAAACCAGAACTAAAACCAGGACTAAACCAGGACTAAACCAGGTCTAAACTAGATCTAAACCAGGAATAAAACCAGTCTAAACCAGGACTAAAGCAGGTTTAAACCAAGACTAAAACCAGTCTAAACCAGGACTAAACTAGATCTAAACCAAGACTAAAACCAGGACTAAACCAGGACTAAACTTGGTCTAAACTAGATCTAAACCAGGACTAAAACCAGGTCTAAACCAGGTCTTATCTAGGTCTAAAACAGGTCTAAACAGGATTTAACAGGCCGTGTGGACCGTGTCTCCTCGTCGTCAATAATATTTTGTAAATATTATAATCTTGTGATAACTCAGCACGTTGTGTATTCTTGCATTTTATTTTGGCTTATTTACTCGAGATTCCTTTTTAGGGCGTTTGCCTATGACGGAATAAAAATAAAGAAATGAATGATTGAAAACGCTTGAATAACCAGGTCAAAACAAAAACAAGCCCGAGCCTGTTTTAACTAATAATAACCCCGAGCTAATAGGCCACAGCCGCTTTAATCTTCCATATGTTGTGATCGCTATTACAGGATTAGTCCTACTTCTGTCTTTCTTTTTTTCCATAATCCTCTTCAAACATCAACAAAAGACACCTGTCACGGTTATGCAATAATGGCCTAGATAAATCCATACCAGTAAATCAATAAATAAATCAAAATAATAATAGTGAGCTTACGTTTAAAGTGCTCATGTTCGACTATTTCCTGATCCGTGTTACAATGTCGTTTCCTCGTCACAAACAGACCTGGACTTGTGTTTTGTTTCATTCACACAAACTCTGAGTCCTTTTCTCAAACTGGAAACACACTGTTCCTCCTCGTGATGTCATCAAGTGGTAATATATAACCATGTAT